AAGAAAAAAAAAAAAAAAAAAAAAAAATATTATATATTCAAGCGTTCTTTTGTATTTTCGAAGTGCATGCCAGAGTAAAATGAACTTAAAATGTATGATTTGATTTTAAAAAGCAGAAGAAAAAAAAAAAGTACAATTACTTTAAGAAAATAGTCAAACCGATATGCCTGGCAAATATAATGCATCATAACATGCTATAAAACTCATGTTTATTTAACTTCCTATTTGCTGTTCCTTCATCGGGCGGAGGTAAATTTATTAGTTAAATGAGTACAGTATTAGCTGATTGACCCGTTATATCTAAAATCGCTACAACTATCACAGAATATTACAAAAAAAAAAAAATCACCCCTAACTCCCTGATGGTAAGCCCCTCTTAGATTACTCAGCTCCTCGAAAATAAGGGGACGGACAAACTTCAACGCTTAGTAGTAGCTACGGCTGAAGCCATTGCTGTACTTGTCCTCCAAATAATCATCCTTATCAAAGCCTGAGCCAAGAGAGTAGCGCTGATAGTGAGAGGAAGGAGCGGCGGGAGGGGGAGGGGGCACAGAGCTAGCGCCATTGCGGGCGAAACCCCGGGAAAAGCCGGCAGAAGAGGGTGGAGGGGGAGGCGGAGGCAGGAGAGAGCGGCGACCGCCAAGAGGACTGCGCTCACGGTAGTAGCGATCGGCGAGAGGAGGCGTGACCGGCCGCTGAGGGAGAGGAATGCGCCGGTCGTATGGATCCCGATCGTAAAAACGTGGGGATGGGTCAGCATACGGGTCGTGGCGAAGGCTCCTCTCGTACACATCGTGCTCATAGTAGGCACGGGGTGGCGGCGGTGGGAGAGGAGGGGGTGGAAGTCGGCCACGAGGCGGATAGTATTCACGGGGCGGCGGGCGTGGGGGGACAAAGTGAGGATGGTGGTGTGGGTGAGGTGGATAGTGATGCGGCGGAGGAGGAAAATAGTCCTCCTCTCGGTCATTTCTGGATGGGTTACTGCGTGAAAGGGACACAAAGACCTTTTGGCCCTCCAATTTGGAGTGGTTAAGCTTTGAAATGGCCTCCAGAGCCTCGCTTTCCCTCTGCATGTGAACGAATGCATAATTCTTCACAATATCGCACTCCACCACCTTGCCGAATGGCTGGAAGAGCTCCTTGATTTTGGCAGCGGTGACGCCGTCGGGAACATTGCCCACGTAGATCTTGGTGGCATTGCGTACCTTGGTGGTGGCGTACTCGACGGTGATGCGGGAGCCGTTGACCTCTTGCTTGTGCAAAGCGGAGACGGCTTTCTGCGCCGCCTCTTCCTCATCCATGTGCACGAAGCCATAGTTTTTCAGAATGTCACAGTCGGACACGGCACCGTACTTCTCAAACAAAGCACGGAGCTCGTCTTCTGTGGTCGCTGAAGCTACATTGCCAACAAATATCTTCACCATTTTGGACAGGAAGAACAGCAGTGCGTTTTGGGATCAGTCTTTGGTTGATTCGCAAGGTATCGAACGATGAAGTTCCTAAGAAAAAAAAACAACAAAGTCAAATAAACAGGCAAAATATATGCAAATCAACTTTACCAAGAATTTCAAATGTAAAACACACAGGACAAACCACAACTTCCATGCTGCCATTCATCATTTTTTCACTGGTATTAAATAATAATTAATGCTTAAATCATATGAATTCAAGTTCAACTATGTATTATTATTACTGGATTATGAAGTCAGATTCACATTGGGATCCTCATAATCCGGTTGGGGTTTATGTAACTATAATTAAGTATTGTCATTATTGCAAAATATAGACTTTATTGTAAATTATTAGATAATTACTACATGGCTGTGCTAAATGATAGTTTAGCCACCATGCTACAAAAACACTTCTGAACGTGACTGACCAATCAGAGTCAAGTATTTCAGAGAATGCGTAATAAGGAGAGCCTAAAGGCCCTTTCACACGGTACGCGGCAGTCGCGAGTATCTAGTTCATTCTCAATGGGAGACATGCGGAAAGCGGCAAAACGCGGGCGGTTTCGCTGGCGGCGCGGAGGCAGAGCGCAAGCGGTGCTGGTGCACCCAAAATCCTGCCGCTTCCACCGGCACGCCAAAGATACAAATATTTTATCTTTTTGTGAGCGGCAGCTGCGTCGGTTTCAACCAATCAGTTAACATTTAACTGAACTGCCTATTGGAAAAATAGAGAAGATTGTTTTAAGTGTAATAGATTTCCCAGAACTGTATGACCCATCTAAAATCTCATACAGAGACATAAATAAAATTATATTTAATTCTATCGTAACCTCACAGGTATGCTCTTTAGGCAAATCAATAAAAATTTATTTGGGTGCACAAGCACCGCTTGCGCTCCGCCAGCGAAACCGCCCGCGTTTTACCGCTTTCCGCGTGTCTCCCATTGAGAATGAACTAGACACTCGCGACTGCCGCGTACCGTGTGAAAGGGACTTTAGAAGAGCCGGCTCTTACGGCTCCCAAATGGCTCTTTATTTAGTATCACTCTGAGCCTTCTATTTTAGCCCAATTTAGCAATTGTGAATGGTTTGTGTGTTGGTAAGCAATTTTTTATTCAGTGTTTTCATAAAAGCCTTATTTTTATGCTTTTTTCCGACACAGATACTATTATTTAACATTTTAATAAAACTTTAATAAAACACTTTAGTCTTTAGTGCAGGTTGGCATTCAGAAATATCAGATGCCTCAGCTTGGATGTGCTGATGCGATTTCTCCTCTCTGTGATTATTTGTCCTGTTTTGAGAAGACTCTCTCTGAGGGGACATATGTTGCAACAATGCAGTGTCTTCCTACTTCAACCAACGCGCTTGCGTTTAAATCCGGCTCCCCCGTCTCTCTGTCGCTCTGTGTACCTGGCCTGTACCACTACATTCGCTATCTTCGGAGCGTGTGTCCCCCTTCCTTCTTTCATATAATGGTATGATCCTAGTCTGTCCTCCCATGAGATTAGCCGCATGTGTATATATATATATTTGTTTGTAACGAAAAAATGCATAAAAATAAGGCTTTTATGAAAACACAAAATAAAAAAATTGCTTACCAACACACAAACCATTAACAATTGCTAAATTCGTGTAAAATAGAAGGCTCCGGTTGAAGATTCGGCTCTCCCCGACGGGAGTCGGCTCTTCTCGTTCGCGAACGACACATCACTACCTTCCGCATGTCTCCCATTGAGAATGAACTAGACACTAGCGACTGCCGCGTACCGTGTGAAAGGGCCTTAATGGTTTCATTTTCAAGCTATAACGTACAAAATCATACAATTTCTGGTTCACAATCTTTTATATCTTATGTAGTCAACTCGAATTGGGTTGAAAATCCGATGAAAAGATCTGTGATCTAATGTAGCAAAAGATGATCTGCATCTCAATCATGCAACGGCTAAAGCTATCGTGCTAACGCTAGCATCTATTCGCGCCAGACTGAGGAAGTAACATTAAATAAAATATTTTACTTTACAGACATTACAACCCAGTAGCATTGGCTAAGAAAAGAATATCACATTGTAAAACAAATCAGCGCGATTAATTACAATTCAATATTCTCGGTTCACTTGAGGACGACGTTCAGTATAAAGAGAGACTATCGGACAACGGAGTGAATACATTTTCTGCATTATGACCATTCAAACGGTCGTACCGTATTTATAATCGACAGGTGAAATACGAAGAAAAGGATTTGAAGTCTCTCTCAAAGTGTAATCTTTAAATCTTACCTCCAAAGCGCAACTATACCGAAGACATGAGCAAGCTCGCTGATAATGGATGATGACGGTATCAATGCCTCGTTTGAGGGTTGGGGGAGGGTCACATAAGCGCTCAACAGTCTGAGAGTTGGCGCCTCCTACCGTTTGACCGCAGTTAGTGACAGAAAGTCTGATTCATTTCTGCGAACCAGTTCTTTCGAGCCGGCTCAAATGATTCATATCTATTACGTAATCGCGTGATTACGTCAACGCGTGGTACCTTACGGTAAAACTTTGTAGTGTGTTGCAAAATTTGTAATGTAATCAATATATTTTATATTTTCTGCACATATTATTTATAACATTTCTGCTATTTGGCTATTCGGAGCAACTTACCTTTCGCCCCTATTACTCAAAAACCGGTCGGACCAATTCAGTGTGATCTGTGATCCGATTGGAAAAAACGATTCGTTCGCGAATCGGAAATAACTACCCCAGATGTGCACATGACAGAGTGTCATTTTTTCTTTCCTTCCTCTGATTGTTCTGCTCAGTTTACAACAAAATGCCCAATTATTTGAACTAGACATAACCAAATTTACACAGCCCAACTATTAACAAAAGAAGAGTTCATTTGCAAAAACAGATAACACCGTTTTTTAAAATGTTCAAAAATCTTTTTTTTTTTTTATATATCCTGAATTCAAATTAACATCAATCAAACTGCAGTTGGGTTGTTTTGATTACATAACTAAAAAAATACAGCTAACACAAAACACAATAAAAAAAAAACATGATTTAAAAAATGTATAAAAAAAATAAAATAAAAAAAAGTCATCTATTTTTGCAAATAAACTCCTCAAATATGGATTAAATCTGGTGCTGGCTTAAGATACATTCTCTTTTCCAAACCTGAAGACTCTAGAAACCTTTTTTTTTTTTCTTCCAACAAATAAAAACTGCAAACGTTGACATTTCAGTATCATAAATAAACTGTTTATCACTTTCTGATTAATAATAAATATTACATATTGTTTAACAGATCAGTAATGTACATTTAAATTGAAACATGTTAAGATATTAATACAATAAATATGAAATCTGTTTGAATGTACATTAATGACTTGTTAGTCCTAATGGCAAATGTGATTTTTAAATGCAATTAATGAACATTAGGAAAGTGTTACCCTAAAACAAACAAACAACAATTGCCACCTAATTTGTTAAGTTTGCAAGTGCTCTCAATTGGAAATATTTGAGAAAGAAAGTAGTTTTATTTGTATTGCATGCTCTTTAAATCAATTAAAGAACAACAGCATATTTCAAATGTTGCTTGAAGGTGAAACGAAAGGAAAATTAAACAATGCACTAAAATAAAAAGAATACTGTTCATGAACAACTGAACACAAATCACCCAAGGTCTGGTTTATTCATATAATAATATTAATAATTATCTTCTCCAGAGAAAGGCAACGAAACAGACTAATTCCAGTGCAGCAGATTGGATCCAACCAGCAATTCTTAATAACACTACAATCCACCAATAATTACTTAATTGGCCCTTAATTAGTTTCAGATATATAACCCCTGCAGTAGAGGAAAAAACAAAAACAACAAAAAACTAATTGTCTGGGCATAGAGTGCTAAGAGGTGATTCACCTCCAGTGCACCGAGGGTTCAAGTCAAAACTTCCATTTCAGCTCAAATAAGACACTGTACTGTGATGTAGAAATGGGGCAGAGGTTACAGATGAGCTACCATATCATTGGCTAGATCAGAACCGATCAGAGCATGATGAGTGGATATGAAAACTCAAATGATGGCTCTACTGAATATGCCTAGTCATTTGGGTCTCGATTTCGTGTTGTACATTCAGAGCGTCAAACTGCCAATCTCTCCATCTCTGCTCATCACAGCTAACCTGGAATTTGAAGTAAGATCAAGTAATGAGGTGGTTTGCCGTTGTTTGTATTTGGGGATCAATAAGGAATAACGACCGGGGGGGGGGGTTTGGGGAAGAGTTAGATACAGCTTTCCATGACAATAGCTGGTTTGCCTATGTAGAAAAAAAAATTACTGGCAAACAATTCCAGTTTATTAACACCAACCTCTTCTCGCTGTTTTCTGAACTGAGGACAATTGTGAGGTCCAAGAAAAGCCACATTTGAACAAAATCGCCACATATAAAGATGACAACACAAAGTATTCGAGGGGGAGGGGTGAGTAAGGAACAGAAAACCCAAACCAAGACAGAACACCTCCCCCAAAAAATAAACCCCCTGAAAAATGTCTATATGCATAAATGTCCCCTATGAATCTGCCTTTACAGCCTCAAGACTCTTCATTGCTGTCGTAGAGCTAAACACTCCAATGATTTTCCTCACAGTGCCTCCTCATTCCCAACACATGGGCTCCAGCCGTTCCCCAAGATCTTTTCCACAGAAACAATAGTCTTCCTCACAGTTTTAGCTCGTTGGCGATCTTCGAGGCGATGTTCTTGAAGGCGATGGAGGTTCCGGAGATCCTCTTGAAGCGCACCCCGTTGAGCGAGAGGCGAGGTAGCTTGCACACCTCCATCTCCCACTGGACGAAGTCGTCATGTGCGAGGCTGCCCGAAATGCAGAGGAGCATGAAGCACTCGCGCAGCTCGTACTCGCAGCTGTTGGAGTCCAGAACTTTCCGGATCTCCTTCATCATTTCGTTGGGCTCCATGGAGGAGGTGGTCTTCATGCTCCAGGTGAAGCGGAGGGAGCGTGGCTTGGTGTCCTTGGAGGCCTGGGTGGACGAGGGTGTGCTGGACACTGGAGAAGAGGAAGAAAAGGAGTCCTTGTTTTCGTCGCCAGGCAGTCCTTGGGTACCCTTCTCCATCTTGTCTGCTGTGCTCAACATGGGTCTTCGGTGAAAACGATGAGAGGAGAGAAGCACAAACAGGAAAATGAAGGTGAACATGAGGAAGACAAGGAAATGATAACAGATAGAAGAAGCTTAGTTCTAGTTCTGCTTTAACACGTTTAAAATGTTCAGTCAACATGATTATGATCATCAACACAAAACACCAACATGGTGCTATGGTGGAAGACTACAATGCAGTCAAAACATCAGCATCCACTAATTGGACATCTGTAAGGGGCTTTGGGGGTAAAAACAAAAACAACAAAAATGTACATAAAAATAAAACATTAACTCTGTTAGAAGTTTAGAAATTTTAAATTAATTTATTACAGACCTATTTTCAGATACTAAGAAATTCTTGCATGTAAATGAAAGAAATACACTACTGTTGAAAAGTTTGGGGTCAGTCAAATTTTAAGGAATTAATTCTTTTATTCACCAAGGAGGCCTTGAATTGTTTAAAGGTGACAGTCAAGATATTTCTAATGTTAGAAAAACATTTCTACTTCAAATAAATGCTGTTCCTTCAAACTTTTTAGTCACCAAAGAATTCTGGAAAAAAGTATCAGTTTCCACAAAAATATTAACTGTTTAAACATTGATAAGAAATGTTTCTTGAGCGCCAAATCATTACACTAGAATACTTTCTGAAGGATCATGTGACACTAAAGACTGGAGTAACAGCTGCTGAAAATTCCGTTTTGCCATCATAGGAATATTTAATTTTAAAATATATTTTAATTATAAATTTGTAATATTTCACAATATTACTGTTTTACTGTATTTCTCATGAAATAAATGCAGCCTTGGTGAGCATAAAAGACATTTCAAAAACGTTTTAAACATCTTACCAACCCCAAACTTTTGAACTGTAGTGTACATTTGATTATGTCTCGTATTGCAAGTCACCCAATGATTTAAAAGAAAAATACCCAATTTAAGCTTCAAGTGACTCCACACTCAAACGGAATATGAATAATTCTATTTTTTTTTTTTTTAAATGTCTTAGTAAGTAATGATTCAGTGATTGGAGTAGTACGCTTCTGTAGATAAATGATTTTTATTAGTCAGTCGTCCTCACCTGCTGGCCTCATCTCGACCCTCTCCCTCATACGGACTCCTCAAAGAAAACCAACAAGTTTAGTCCCTCAATTCAAGTTATCTTATTGCTGCTAGCTAAGTATTAGTCCTGTTCACGAAGATTTTGGTATCAATACCTAATTATGCTAATAAAACTTGAAGCAAAATACATAAAGCATCTGTTTACAGTTTCTTCACCAACTTCTTGACCATTTAATTTTAAACTCTGAACCTTGGGATCAACACACACTCACATAAGCCACTCTGTATTTAGCCTAAGAATAAATGAGCAGACATGTGGCAGTCTATGTGTTAAAGTGCACATTTTTACAGGATGCAGTCAGGTAATGCAAGAGTATATAACATTTTAAATGACCCCAAAAGGAATGAAAGCGAATTTCAAATCTTAATTGAAACACAAAATTCAGTATAATGCCTAGAGCAAAACTACCAGAGGTCCTTCTAAACTTAAATTCCCAATCTTGTCTGTCAGATATGAAATGTATAAAACATTTTTCATTTTCTCATGTGTGCATTGTACAGCTGAACAAGTGACTTCAGTGAGATGTGTGTTGAATGATGCAGTCGGACGGAGAGACCAGCCACCTCCAAAACAGCGCAGCACGAGAACGAAGGGACAAAAGCAGCACGCCTGTTTTAGTGCAGCCATATAAAAATAAGCAGTAGACCATAAGAGGAGAGAAGCAGGCGTCACCCTTTACAACCCTCACCATGAAAACACGACTGACATCCTCTATTGACCCTGTCTGGCTGTGCGCTTCTATCTGCAAACTATGAACTTACCTGACCTGTTCAAAATCAAAGGTCAAGCTTTGGGCGAAGGTTTAGCTGCCATCAACAGAATATAAATGACAAAGAATTCTGTGCCAAATACTTCTACATGCTGTTGTAGATATAAATTTTTCACATCCACTTTTGTCTGAGGGTCTACAAAATACACCAGAATAAGGAATTTAATTCTTTCTCAGATGGCGCTGAACATACAATATTTATGATAATAGCACTATACCTTCATTAACAACCCTTTATTAATACAATAATAGTGTTGTTAATGACGAAACCATTTTTTTAACACTTTTTATTTGAACAACAAAAATTACACTGATTTAAGGCTCA